TAGATATCCTGCTCATATGGAATTTCTGATTTCTGCATATCACATAGATATCCTTCCTATAAGAATTCTGCACTTTCATATTTAGATACTATGCCTATAAGGAATTCTGCACCCATATGGATATCCTGCCTATAGGTTTCTGAAATTCTGCATTCATATGGATATCCTACCTATAGTTAAATTTCTGCATCTCTCATATAGACACCATGCTCATAGTTAACTGGAAATCCGAATCCTGCATATACATCTGTCACTAGGCAAACCTGTTTATAGGGCTTAAATAATTAATTGCATTTAGATATCATATTCATAGGCTTAAATGAAGTAGAACATTTAGATGCCATGCCAATAGGATTTTTGCACTCTTGTTTTGCCTGTAAAAGTGTTTAAAATCAACAACGCCTAGAAAGCATGCCTATAGGAATTAATAACCAAGTCTGAAACGTCTCAGTCTCCTACAAATCTAAAATCATTATCTAGCGTCTGTAGAATTTATGATCTTTTGTCAAAACTCGTCTTTCCTAAATAACTGATAACCTTTTCTAAAATCAGTATACTTCATCTTTTCTGAAATCAATAGATATCATGCCTATAGGTCTTTGTCTAACACTTAGGCAAGCAATAGGGTGAAAGTTTATAAACTAAATCAGATTTTTATATGCTACAACCAGCTGGCAGGCCTGACTCGGGCTTCTTATCTGAAATATGCAATAAATCAGTCTGCCCCAACTTTTAAGTTTAATCAGACCCTAATCAGTACATGTAAGACATGCTAAACTATATGTTTTCTTTGATTCAAGGAGGTCTGTTTGAGCCTTATTTGTTTATGTGCTTCCCCATACTTGCTATATATATGTTTTTATTTGCCGCTTTAGTATTGTTTCCTTTGAAACCATAAATAAGCCCAACATACCTCCCCTTTAGGATTAGTAGTCCTAAATGCCTCCGGGACTGATAGAATTGGGGCGGGTAATAGCATGCAATAAGTAAACGATACCATTTCACACTTTAATACTTCAACGGGGTAGGGAAGGGTAGATACGGATATGATGACCACGCAGTAACATCTCGTGTATACCGTGATTGAGGAGTGATTACCGGGTGTTGTGTGGGGTGATCCATATTATTAATAAACCTAGGACTCCCCCTTCCCTTTGTTTTCTTTGTTTCTTTAAATCTTTTTTTTTAAAACCATTTCTTTTAAGAAAATCTACTCCTTTTAGTTCCTTTTTCTTACTTTTGGTTTATTTGTAACCATTACGTTTAAATCCCCTCTTATTTGAAGTCTTTATTTGCTTATGTGTTATTTGTACTTAAAGTCACAATAATAGCTTGGCCGGGAATCATTAGGTGACGACTCTTCAATTCAAACCCAATTCCCGAAAAGGAACGAGTTGTCATCCCAAATGTCATAAACCCGATTTTGCGAGAAAAAGGGGGCGCGACAGTTACTTACTGAGTTGGTTGTACTCACGCTACAGACTACACTTTATGTGCAAATCTAGGAGTTTCGGGACGTGGAAGGTGTTGATAGTTCTCGTAGCTGACCGTTGGAGATAACGAGGTAGCTGCCTGGTGTTCGCCGACCTTGTTTTCTTCTTATGTATCTTTCTTTCATTGTATTTGGATTCAGACTATGATAGTCATTTTATTTCTTGACCGGTTATGTTTAGATGTTCATGACTTAGTGGAACCCCGATTTTGGGGCTATTTTCCTCACTTGTATTTTGGGTTTAACCCTTATTTTACGAAAACTCTATTTATTTAAAAACTTTTGATTTATCTTCTGTGTAGTATTGGAAGTATTTTGAAAAAGTCTGGTTGCATGGTACCATCGATAGGTTCCATCACGCCAGTTAGGATTTGGATCGTGACAAGTTGGTATTAGAGCCTATGTTACATAGATCTTACGAGTCATGAGCAGGTTTGGTAGAGTCTCGCGGATCGGTATGGAGACGTCTGTACTAATCTTCGAGAAGTTGCCGAACCCTTAGGAAACTTCACATTCTTGAATTTTTGTTGTGCGAATCTATTGATTCTGGTAACTAAACTTTTGTTATTCTATTCTCTCACAGATGGTGAGGACACGTACTACTGGTCAGGATGGACAACCACCAGTACAACCGGCCAGGGTCGCGAGAGGCCGAGGTTGCGGTAGAGGTCGCGGTAGGGGCAAAGGTGCAGCTTGTCACACCTCCTTTTTCACTTACACCCCCGAAGAGGCGTAAAGGAGTTTTTCCAATTGAAGGACAATCAGAACAGGATTTGATTATTAATTATTCAGAGTCGCCACTTGAGAGATTAATGGTGTCCCAAGTCACCGGTTGTATCCCGAACCGAGGAAACATATGACTCTGTTAATGGTCTGCAAACCAGAAATCCGAGTAAGGAATTCTGTTAACCTGGGAGAATGTGTTAGGCATTCCCGAGTTCCATGGTTCTAGCACGGTCGCTTAACTGTTGTATTTAATTTTATCTAATCTTAATACATGCTAGCTTATGTGCCTTTTATTTGTAAACCACTTTTTATTATTATTTATTTCAAAAGAATTGCGACGTCGTAAAAACGCGTTTCGAACCACGTCGCAATCGATGCACCCGTGATTGTCAACCCATTTCGACTTCGTCGAGATTTAGATTTGGGTCGCATCAATGCGCACCCGAGTTTAGGAAGGTAATTTTAATTAGTGCGCCTAAAGCAACTACGCATCGTATTATTTTTCTAAACTACTTTGAGATTATTATGAGACTACAATTTGTGGATGAATTAAAGTATTTTGGAGGGATTGAATGACTTATGGTGTATGGGAAAGGACAAATTCCAAATTAATGATTAAGATCCCGCTATCCATTTATTATCGTCTACTGACCATTACTATCAATTAAGGAATTAATATGAGATCAAGTTTATAACTAATAAAGTAGGAAAAATGAGAGAAGCTACTAATTCAAAATAAGAGTAACCTAAACATACTAACAGGAAAATATGATCCAACTATTTCCAAAACCTTGGCCCAATTTTACAACTCAAAATCCATAATTCCATATTAAAACGTTCTCTTTTCAATTAAGTCCAAATCCTCATTAGTTAAACACTAGTGATTTCCACGATATCCAATTTATGCGAATTCAACAAAATTGCATCACACCACATGAAGCAAATACTTTCTACATAAATCTATTGGACTAAATCTACTGATTTATGGTACTAAGTTAATAATAAAATGCAAGAAAGCAATCACAATTATCATATCAAGAATAGAAGATTCACGTGGCTGATAAACAAAGTAAACAAATACGAACATACAACATGATAAAGAAAAGAAGGGAGGAATAAAATATGGACCTTCTATTTCAGATTTTCTACAGCTCAATAATCAAAACAAGAATGATGACTACAACCGGAAACCAGTGGCGGCCACCTCTACTCCCTCGACTTGAAAAAGCATTGTTGCACTATGTGGAAAAGAAAGTTGTTNGGAATAAAATATGGACCTTCTATTTCAGATTTTCTGCAGCTCAATAATCAAAACAAGAACGATGACTACAACCGGAAACCAGTGGCGGCCCCCTCTACTCCCTCGACTTGAAAAAGCATTGTTGCACTATGTGGAAAAGAAAGATGTTTTCAAGTGGATCAAGGGTGGTTTCAACTAGGTTCGGGCTAGAAAATAGCTACTGTTTTTCTATGTTAATTCGGAGCAATTTCGGGGTTGTTTTGTGGATGGTTCTGCCTCTGATTTTCGCTGTGAACAGGGTTGTTTTGAGGTTTTATTTTTGGGATTTTCGGACTGATTTTCAGTAATTTTTGTGACTGACTGTGCTGCTCTTTGGAGCTATTTTTCTGGGTTTAAAGGGTGGCTAGTTCTCTATGTCTGTCAAAGAAGACGAATGACAGGGAAGAGGAGATCCTGAAGAAAATGAAATTCAAAGGGGAAAGGGTGGTCGTTCTTTGTTGAAGGCGAAGCAGTTCGGTGGGGAAGGGAGTCGAAGGAGACGGGATTTCAGGGTGGGGTCTCATATGATTTTTGGTAGTCTGCCATTGTTAGACCCTTTTTTTAGCTTTTTCTTTTTTTTTCGTTCCTTCTCCTCGTTATCTTCTTATGCGCAGCCCTTTTGTTCTTTTTTTCCTCCCTCTCTTTTCATTGGGTAGAGAATGGTTTTATAGAGTGTGTGGAATGGGATGTTATGTGGGGGAGTTTTATTTAGGGAGAAGGTGTTATGTGAAGTAATATTTTGGGGGGAAGGTTTTAGGTGGGGAAATATTTTGGGGAGAAGGTCTTAGGTGGGGAGAAATGATTTGGGGGGAAAATATTTTGGGGAAGGTTCTTCCCATTTTTTTTT